GGGCTGCGAATGCTCCTGCTGCATGTCTGTCTTTTACAAGGCTTCTAGGAATTTGAACTCGGGTGCTGGTGCTTACACAGCAAACACTTTTACACACTAATCCATCTCCCTAGCCCTTGATGGCCCTCCTTATGCCTTATCTACCTTGTCTAGTAGAGTGGTTTTCCACAGGATTTTTAAATTTTGATTCATTGGATTTTCATTTCCAGCATTTCTGTTCATTTTTTTCCCAAAATCTGTTTGCTTGTTGAATTCCTCATGTATGCTGTTGACTTTCTTATTTGCATCCTGAGTTGATTTCCTTACATCATTTGTTTATTTGCTCTGCCTTCTTGGAGGTCACAAATCATTTTCACAAGTAGACTTTAAAATTACTTGCCCAGCTGTTGCAATATCTTTGTGTTCACAAGTTAAGGAGCTGTGGTCTTTTACAGGAATCATGTTACCTGGCTTCCTCCCATCTCTTGTGCTTCCATGTTACACTGTGACATCTGTTGGGATATGTATCACTTCTGATTTTATTTAGGTGTTTGTTTAATGAGAAGCTTCCCCTTGAGGGCTCAATCTCCAATGGTGCTTAAAGAGAAAATTAGCCATAGAAGTAGAAGCAATTTCTAGAAGGGATTGAGCTGTTTCCTAAGTTTGTTTTCACAGTGGAATGATCAACTTGCAACCAAAACAAAGGAGAGATGGGGCAAAAGAGAAAAAAATGTTTCTTTCACCATAAGGCAACCAGAAATATTTGAGGCTAGATAAGGAAGTCAAGCTTGTTGTACGTACATGCAAGAAAGATGTCTGAAGGGGATTTAGAGAAGCTAAATGTGTGTGTAAGATGGTGACATTAAACTACGTCATCAAAAAGGCTAAGGCATCAGAGTATAGCAATGTGACACATGACAATGAGTTTGGTCAAAGAAAGGCTCCTTGACATCTCCAGGAGGGAGACATACCATGGAAAAGCAAACTGTGTGGATGTAAGAAGCTCATGAACTTGAATTCTGCAGTAAATATCCTTGCTTTGTGGATTTTTCTGGTCTTGGCTGTGATAATAAAATACTGTCCCTTTAAAAGCTCCTGCTTCCTATATCTAAAATTTAAATTATCTTTAAAAAAAGATTTATTTATTTTTGTTTTTATATGTATGAGCATTTTCCACACATGCATGTATGTGTACTAAATACCTCTTTCATTCCCTTAGAGGCCAGAACAGGGTGCCAGGTCTCAATAAAATAAAGTTACAGGTAGCTGTAAGCTGCCATGTGGGTGCTGGCAATTAAATCAGCACTTGATGCTCTTAACCACCGTGTCACCACTCCAAAATCTCCATATGTTATCCACATGGCAAAAATTTACGTGAACCACAGAAATTTACTCAGGTAGGTTAGACAGAAGGAAGAAGAGGCAGCATATGAGATATGGGGAGAGCTCAGTCCATCATTGTTGGCTTTGTACTTGGGAAAAGAAGGCCATGAACCAAAGAATTTGGATCGCTTCTGGAAGCTAGAAATTGTCCTCACTTGACAGTCATTCAGCTAAGAACTGAGGAGTTCAGTTGTACAACTCAAAGAACTAATTCTGCCAACAGACAAATACTGAAGCAGTCATGAGCCATCCTCATTGACAACTAGTAGGAATATGACATTAATCCACTTCTCAGAGGGGACAGCCTTCAAAGTAACTAACCCGGCATTAAAAGTCCTGTCCAGTGTTTGTTCATTGTGTCTTGGTTACATATATTTATCCTATTCATTTAGGCCATTTAAATGAATAAGAAGGAAATACCAAGTCGATATAAGGGGTTTTCTACCATGTCCCTCCCCAAGATTAATAAGAAAGAAAAGGCAGGAGAATGTGTAATTCTGAATTATTGTTTTCATCCAATTTGAAATTATACTACCAGTTTGTCCATTTGAGGATTAGTTCGACTAAAAAACAAAAATTATGTAATAGTGCTCATGAAGCCAAGTTTTTAGTTTGCCCCCTACAGCAAAATGAAAAGAGTCTTGGTTTTCATAGTCACAATGTTTTCTTTAAAATAATTTATTTATTCTTATTTTGTATACATTGGTGTTTCCCCTACATGTATGTCTATGTGAGAGTGTCAGATCTTAGAGTTATAGACAGTTGTTAGCTGCCATGTGGGTGCTGGGAATTGAACCAGGGTCCTCTGAAAGAGCAGTCAGTACTCTTAATCGATAAGCCATCTCTCCAGCCCCATCACAATGTTTTTTAAGCCTAATTTTCATATTGTAGCTCCAGCTAGCACAGGACTTGCTATGTAGGCCAGGCTGTACTTAATCTTACCGAGATCTGCTTGCCTCTGCCTCTTGAGTGCTGAGACTAAAGGTGTGTGCTACTCTACCTAGATAATTATAATTTCTTAAAGGACAAGTGTCTTTTCCAAAGTGTCTCGTTTTTCATCAATATTTAAACAGGAAGCTCGGTAGAGTTTAAAAACTGAAAGTTAGTGATCCAATCCCATTTCCACTTCAAAATACTGAAGTTATCATCCATTCCAAAAGTGTGGGTCACACGTTGTGTTTCCTGATTGTTGGCTTTCATTTTTAAAACAGGGGCTTTCTTGTAATTTTGCTGACTTTGCCATGGTATGAAAAGATCATTTGATTATTTTCTGTTCTGTATTTATCTGGGATACTCTACCAGCTATAAAGCACCATGATCTTTAGAGGACTTTGGGCAATGCTAAAATCTAGTCAGATTTAGAAAGTATCTAGAAACTCGCATAGGAAATAGCTCAAATGCCTCCGTTCCTTTGCATTGCTGTAACAAGATACCAAAGGCTGGCTGTCATAAAGAAAAGATTTATCATAGTTGATGGTTTGGGACTGAGAAGCCCAAGGTCAGGCAGTCACTTCATGCTGCATTATCACGTGCAGATTGCATAGAGTGGCGGGAACACATGTAAGAGCCGTGTATATGGATACACATGTGTGCAGAAGAAAGACTAAGGGAAGGAGCTGGCTTCATAACAACCTGCTTTTACAGTGCCAGTCCCAGAGACCCAACTCACTCCCAACCAGTACATACTAATTCCCCCAAGTTGGTTCCCATGACCAAATTTCCCCCAACATGGTTACTCTACTCGTCTTTGCCTCCACATTGTGCCTCCAAGCACATGAACCGTAGGAGCTAGGCATCAGCATCAAATAAACCAAGAATGCTTAACCTGAGAACAGCCTAAGAAGGATAGACAGTCTGCTCTCAAATATCCAAAGGAGTAGCTGTCTCCAACTGCAAAGATCAGATTCAACACTGCAATCCAAACTGCATCTCTGCAAGGGAGGATTATAAAATATGAGGATATAAGAGCAGCCTGTCTGAGCACTCTTGAAATTATATGGAAAAAAAAAATGACTTCTGCTTCCTCCCAACTGCCTCATGAATTGCTTCCTGCCACAGACAACTGGAAACCAGACAAAATGAGAATGAAACTATTGTTTCGAGATGTTGGGCATCAGCAACAGAAAAATGTAACTGTAATTAAGAGAAGAGAAAAGGTAACATTGTAATTGCTCACAGCTTACTGCCTGTAGTCAATGGCCAAGTCAATAGTCAACACTGAAGGAAGTGAGATTCCTGATGCCCTAAATTAGGAAAACAGATCAAGAAAGTAATCCCAAAAGAATCCCATTTGAACACAGATGCCAAAAATCTTAACAAAATAAGAAATTAAAATCTACTAATATAGTACAAGTATGCTACACTATGATAAAGTAGAGCATATTCTAGGAAGGTAGGAAAGTTGAGCATTCAAAACCCAAGGAGTGATAGTCATTAACAAACAGACTAAAAGAAACCCATGTCATGGCAATGGATACAAAAAAAGTTTTGATGAAATTAATACCCATTCATAATTTTAAAAGAGAAAGAAAAACATTAATGAACTAGGAATTCAAGGGGAATATCTGAAACCCACAAAGGACATCTACCAAAATCATTCTAATAGCATCATAGTGATAAAGGACAAATTGTTCTTCCCCTAAGACTGGGAGGAAGGCAAGGATGCCTATGGTTACTGCTTTTGTTCAGCATTTTGCTGGAAGTCCTAGCCAGTGTGAAAAGACTCAAAAGAGAAAGGCTTGCATATTGGAAAGCAAGGACAAAAAAAGAAGAAGAGTGGGGCCAGGTATGGTGATAAAGTACTATAATCCTAGCACTCAGATGGTGGAAGCAGGATTGAGTTTGAGACCAACCTAGGCTACATAGTGAGACTCCTTTCTCAAAAAAGAAACATCAATCTTTCTACCAAAAAAAGTTTAAATTTTGTTCATGGATATACCACCATGCAGATGGCTATATTTAAGTATGCACACACATAAAAGAGAAGTTACAGGAAGTGTTCAGGTAGACTATAATCCAGGCTGAGTCACTAAACCATCAGGGTACTGTGGAATGGGTCCTGTGTTTTCCATGGATGCCAAGGAGAACAAGCCCTGAGTCTCTGAGTAGGACAGGAGTACTAACAAACCTTCCATCAACCTGGAGGAATTTGCACCCCAATTCGCATCAGCAGTAAATCCAAAGTCGGGAACTTTGGAAATCTAGTTGCCTGGAGATTTCCTACTTTAGCCTGTCCATGCAACAATTCACACATGGTGTTATTTGACTGCACCATATAGCTAATCCATCTATGTGTCAGCATCGTTGGGACTGAATACTTTCATCCATCTTCTAAACCTACTTAGATTTCACAACAGAATCTCTTTTCTGGTCATTAAAAGATGGGTGAAAAAGGGTGTGTTAATCCCATGCCCCTCCATTTCAATGAGGACACCGATAGGTAAGGGTGAGATTACATCCAACATTAGAACTTGGAACACACCAAAAGGGGGGGGGCTTTACCTTGGGGTTGCAGAGAAGTCCTTCCCAGCCCCCAGTCATAATCTCTCTGAGACCCAGGATTTTGAAGCCTCTTCATGTCCCCTCTTTCTATGTCTATGAGGAATACAGCTTCTGAAACTGTTTTTGATCTCTTTCAGAAATCAAAATGGAGAGTGAAGGGAGTGAGAAACTGGAAAAAGGTGAGTCCCAACTGCAACACTGTTGGAAGAGATTTGATCCCCCAGTGTCTGCCTGTAACTCTCACAGGCTTTAACCTGAAGCATGCTGAGACTTACAAAAAAGCTAATGGGGGCAGGGAAGACAGCAAGACAAGGGGGAACATGGAGAAAGTGGCTCTAAACAGTGGCAGTGTCTAATGCACAGTGCCCTGAGGACATGCTGAGTCAGTCAAGGTCAAGGAATAAACAAAGCTCAGGGTTATGGAGTGCTGTGGTAGACATAGCCCATATCTCATTCACCATGGCAATTTCAGCACCTAACAGTGACTGAACTATTGAGCTGCTTGCATGTATAGGATGAGTAAATAAAGAAGCAGGGAATAATAGCATGTCCCTTCAGCCTCAGTGCCTTTGTGCCTGCTGTACCCACCACTTGGAAGCTCCTACCATTTCTTCTTTCTCATTCTTCAGCTCTAACCCCCATCAGCAATTCCTTAAAAACCTTTCCCCAAACTTAATCATGTCCATCTGCTACAGTATCACGTGGATCCTTATTTACTTACCTAAAAGTACCTTAGGAAACATTGTTAACTGAACTCTACCAAAGGCAAACATCACAGCAGCTGATAGTACCCAGCACAATGCCAGGCAAACCTGAAAATTTCTGGTGACTAGCCCTCTGACAACATGACACAATTGGGTTGTCTATTCCTCCATCCCCATCGAGGAGCTGAGAGCTCAAGCAAGCCAAGGCACTGACTGCCTAGTCATGGGATCAAAGCTCCCTACAAAAAAGCCTGATTCAAGAGACAGTTATAGTAACCCCAGGATGGCAGAGGCCACACACAGCTCAGAATTTACCACGCACTAGCAACAAGACTCACTCCAGGAATTCTGGGTGGAGAGCCAAAGTCATTGAGGTGCTACTGGCCCTCTAAGACTTGATTCAGAAATGTTATGGAAGGGTGTGCAGAAGGATGGCATCAAGAGTCAGCATAATGGCAGGATGAGGACCCAGACCAGGCCAAAGCCAAGGGTAGACACTTGGGTGACAGTGCAGCCTGGCTTTCTGCTTGCTTGTTCTCCGTTTCAATACTTTGTTTCTATTCATCAACACATTACAATGGCCTCCCATCTGTGTCTTATGTTTGAAATCTACCAAAAGAAAGTGGTCCTATTGTGAAATTTCACCCAGTCTCTTGTTTTTCTGTTTTGTTTTGTTTTCCAGAATAAAAATCTCTGTGTCTGAAAAAAGAAGTCCAGCATTGTTCACAACTCAAAAAACATCCCCAGAAGACGGGAGTACTACACTTGATTAAAGAACAAAACTCACAATAGTGTCCATAACTTTATCCCTTTTCCTTTGCAAGTTTTTGAGCAACCTCTTTAATTTCCCAGAAGAGAAGAGAATATAACTATTAGGGTATGTGGTGCTCTGAGACTCCCTGTAGGTAAAACAGTCCCTATCATTCGAGCTCTGTTCCCTGTGCCAGGAGCAGACACTAATTCTCTGTCTTGCTTTGTTTGACTCAGTTCACACTCAGGTTTAGTGCACTGAAATGGCTCCTTGCTAGGGAATAACAGTTTGGATCAACTTCTCCTCCTTTAGTTCAGATGCCTCTCCTAAGTTTGCATAGCGTGTTTTTATATGGAACTCCTTGTTGTAGGAGTACTGGCTTTTATCTGTCTTGAGCAAAATTGATAGCCCACTTCGTCTTGTGTCCTTGGGCCTGAACAACTACCTCTTCAGTCAGGTTGGGAGTGGTGTATTTGATGTTGTTTGATGTGTTCGTGTTAGTATGTTAAAATATAAAAGAGTGTATACTGTAGTAGCATAATCACTATGCTCTAGAAAAAGACCCACCACTTATTAGGAAAACTTGTCCCACTGTCAGGATCAGTAATAAGCACGATGACCAAAGTATGGCAAAGGTAACAGCACAGAATTCTCAATGCTTAGAGACACAGAAACACAACAATGGAACCATCCCTAGATCCAGGAGCCACTCCTGTCTGGGCTGATGCTGATATTGGCAGAATCCACCTAATCAGCCAGCAATAAACAAGCATTTGCAGGCATCACTGAAGAAAGCAAAACGTACTACATGTGCTGAGTCCTATTTCTCCTCTTGAGAAAAATGGGATGGCAGTGATGGTCTGGGGACAGCTGTGCAAGGACAAGACAGCAAAACACTCCAAACTTGGGGAAATCAATAGAGTCCAACCAACAATGCTCATAGAAGGATTGATTGATCTCCCCAGTCCTTGGACAAGTCAAGAAGCCATAAATGGATGGTATGTCCCAATGAATGTAGACAGCAATGGCCTTGGTGGTTAGCAGGTGTTTTGATAACCCCATGTTTCATCCAGCTGGACACAGAGTTCAGGAGAAGAGCAGTCGTTGTGATAAAATGTAGGGGGGAAGGATAGAACTTTTTCAGCTCATGGTTTGAGTGAAAGTAGGAAAAGCAGAAAGCACAACACTCGGAGGCTGCCTTAGTCTGCAGATATCCCGGTGGGCATGGATTGGCCCTTCAAAGAAGGACTAAGCAATTGATGCTGACAGGACAACTATGTACAAGAGAGAAATAGCCTCAAAGAAAAGTGGTAGAATGTGGTGTGTTGATAAGGCATGGAGTAGTCACCATTCAAACTTAAAGAGAACTTTGAAAGGTCTGAGCAGCAAAAATTGTTCTTTATATTTTATATAAAGGGCCCTGGAGGGTTGTGGACTGTTCTGCTAGTAAGGCTCGTGCTTAAAATGTTTCCATTCATACATCTTGCCCCTGCCTGTGCAGACTCAGGATTTGGCTGGTTATTAACATGTTCTGTACAGAGTAGATATCAATAAAGTTTTCTTGCATTTATTCAAGCTTACTTTTTTTTCCTTCTGTGTCGATAGTACTATTGTGGGCTATTGTTATTACTTGCCCTTCACATCTGCTAATGCTCCCACTCACCCTTAACCTCCCTCCGGCTAAAAGTCTCAGATTCCTCCCAAATCCTCTTTTCCTTCCTTTTTCTGTACCCATTGTACAAGAAATGAGGCTTGCGTTTGCCTAAATGTATCTCTCGATAATGAGACATCTTTAAAAATTGAGTAATACTGACTTCCTAAATGTCAGTAGGGAACCTCAGAAGAAGAAAACAAGACTTCCTTTTTAGCTTGTAACCTTTCACACTGAGCAATTGTTAAAGTGTGTGCATATGCACATGTTAAGCAACAGCTTGATGTAAAAAGAGTTCCTGAAAACACCCTGATTATAAAATAATAATATAAAAATATTGTGACACAAAAATAATGTGAGGAAAGCCAACCATCTTCCAGAACAGGCCAAAGTGTCTGGACCATAGGGAGCAAGGCTGTGTCTGGCTCCCTCACCAGGGAAACCCGGGTACTGTAGACAGTGCCTCAAAGTACAGTTATCTGAAGTTTGAATGAAACATTAACACACCCTTTCATGAAAACATCTCTCCTTTGAGTGTTAAAGTCTCTAGACTTGTTGTGCTCCAAGTCTGGGGAACGGAGAAGCAAAAAAGAAAAAGAGTTGGAGGGCGCCATCAGGTAACGTACTAGCTAACACTGCCTGTTTGTCATGTGCTTGGTTCTCCAAACCTTCCAAACTACTGTCCCACCCAGTCCTCATGATGACTCTGAGATGCAGCTCATGAGATATTGTGCCCATTTTGCTCATGAATAAATCTAAGCACAGAGATGTCAGAGTAATTTAGTATCTGTTAACCCTCTCTTGTTTAGTCCATCACCCCCACTTTCTCTATGCTCTGACAGAAGAGATGGCCTTTTGCTTGTCCCAGGTCGTCTGCATATCCACATCCTGTGTGCCACAACCTCAGCTCCCAGAGGTGGCAACCCCAGAAATCAGAAGCTGCGGTGAAGGAGGCACATGATTCGATGAGTAAAAGGAGGTTTGGTCATGGGGAAAGTGAAATGTCTTTGCTGTCCTCCCACTGATCCCTCTAGCCTGCCACTTGTTCTTTCGAAAGCCACCCTTCTCCTCCCTCTTCCATGCTGAAGCCACTTTCACCCACGCAGTGTCCTGGTGTTTCCCAATCTAAGTTTGAGAGCCAAGAGTCATCTTTGACACCAACCCTTTGACCTTTCCCTCAGAAGCCACTTCCAAACCTACCCTCCTGCTCACCACCTGGACAGCATTCCTCCAGAGGGGGACCCTTGTCTACTCTTTCCAAAAACCACACAACTGATCAGTCTGTCCCTCTGGACTCTAACCAAAACGCCAAAGGGAATGATATTATTCCTTCCTTTCTCCCTAGCCATGCCACTCTGCTCTTACAGCCCTTTCAGTAGACACCCTCAACCTCATAATTCATCTGTGTGTGTGTGTGTGTGTGTACACTCTACATGTATACCCTTTATTCAGGCAGATTTGGCTTTGTACTACACTCAAAAGAAACCAGAAAGTTCTTACTAGGATGACTACAAAAAGGGTCAGCCTCACATGTTACCTCATAGGTAGCTGTGGTGTGGTTGCCTGCACAAAATTCCAGCACGTATGCGAAAGGCCTACTGAGGCCCCACCCCTAGTTGAAGAGCTACTGCCAGTTGCTGGTTGCTTGAGGAGAGAAAGTCACTTTTCTTTGTCGGGGGTCCGCCATTGGCGGGTTTCCCATGTCCCAATGGATAATCTCACACCCATGTATGTATAGGCAGCATTAATTGGACTTGATGTACCAAAAATAAATGTACAAACAAATAAAATCAAAACGACACATGACGACAAAAAAGAAATGGCCATGTTAATACAATTTCCTTATTCAAACAGATCTGTGTTCAAATCTTTATCACCTTGGGTAAATTACTTAACTTGTTCATCTATGAAATGGACTAATGGCAAAACCCCATACATCTTTATTGTATCAATTTTCAGTTCTATCCCTACTGCTAGTGTGATAGTTAGCTTCAGTTATCAACTTAATGTGACCTAGAATCACCTGGGAAGAGTCTGAATAACAGACTGCCCGCTTAGGGTTGGCCTGTGGGTGTGTCTGCGGGGGATTGTCTTATAGATCCAGCCCACTGTGGGCAGCACTGATCCCTATACAGGGGGTCCTGAACGGTTTAAGAGTGGGGAAACTGAGCTGAGCACAACTGAGTGAGTAAGCTTGCACGAATTCACTTCTCTCTGCTCTTGACAGTGAATGTGATATGATAGTTTGAAACCTCTGCCTTGACTTTCCTACAGTGATGACTGTAGCCTAGTATTGTAGGTTAAAGTAATCCCCCCTTCCCCTCATTTTCTTTTGGTCAGATTATTTTATCACAGCAACAAAAATGAAGCTAGAACCTTGAGGCTCCATGGATTTCTCAGTGTCCACCTAGTCACTCCAGGAGATGCAAATGCAGAGTCCCAGGTTGTCACTAGCCACACTTCCAAGCCTTTGGTCTTATATCCAATATTATCAACAATATGACTTTAGATTCCAACCTTTTTTCCCCCTGTCATTCTATTAGGAAATCATGAGACTACTAGATTTGATTGGCTTATATTATTTGAGCTGTTATTCCTTACTTCTGAAATACTTCTCACCATTTATCTCTGTTTATTTGTGTGTGTGTGTGTGTGTGTGTGTGTGTGTGTGTGTGTGGACACAGGATCTCTCACTAGGACTTGGGATTCACTCATTTGGCTAAGCTGTCTGTCCAGAGAGTTCCGGAAAACTTCCTGTCTCTATCAGTTCCTAGATTAAAAACACCTACTGCGACTACCATCTTAGCATTTTTAGATGTGGGCTCCGGGGATCCAAACTCAGTCTTCCACTTACATGGCAATAACTTTACTTACTGACTGAGCTATCTCCTTAACTCTCTATTTTTCTCATTTTTAAAACAAAGCTTAAACCCAACGAATTCTGAATGTTCTCTACACATTTTTAATAAGACATTTTCATATAACCAGTGCATTAACATTAAAGGTTAAAGGTGTGGATGATAAAGGAGACAGCAAAGAGACCCAAATCAGTAGCTTTTTCATGCTATGAATCAGCACTTAAGAGTTCTCACTTTTCAAATTATTTCCTATTTATCTACAATTTCAATTACAGCAATTAATAAAGTCTTACTAGAGCCTGTGAAGAGTCAGCCCAGACACATCTTTTAGTATTTTTAAGAATCTATACATGAAGTGTCAAATTCAGAAAGGTAAGGTTGAGGCAACCACAGATACTATATACTAATAATGTTTCCAGAACAAACAAAATGCCCCCAAATTCCTTATTCTAGAACCCGTCTTCCCTATTTATATATATACAAACACAGTGGATTGTTTTTATAAACAAGTGTTACATGATAAAAAGTATTATGTTATGATTATAAAAACACTCCTTTGAAAAATAGATGTGATCTTGTTTTACAAAGTGGCCCTCTACCCAGGCTATGCTGTCAGCTCGACTACACTCATTGAGTGTAGCTGTGATTTATCTTCCCATGATTTGATTGTGGGTATGCCACAATTATACACTTTATGAGGTCCTTAAATGGCCAGAATAAAGAGAAAAAAAACATTAAGGTGTTCCCACAGTCTATCAGAAATAGAAACAATGTGCAGAGTGTCCGAACAGCCCTGCTAGTATACAAAACAGGTGAGAATTGAACAGGAAATTGATCCCCAGATAGCAGAGAAAGACATGAGCAGGACTCAGTCCTTGTCACCCCACGATGTCTGTCCCTCCACTCTTCCTATAAGCTAGGAGAGCTGGAAAATGGGCATTAAGAAATGTACATTTAATCCGGCAAGCACATGGCCTTTCAATCAGACATGACAGTGCCATGTGACCTGGCTGTGAACTTTGTCTCTGTTTCCTTGTTTGTAAAATAGTTAATGTTGCCTGCTTACCTCATGAAAACAGAGGCAATCCTGAAGATGTGGTCATGTAGCTAAGTGGTAGAGTGCTTTCCTAGCTTGTGCAAGACCCTGGGGTTCAATCCCCAGGACTGCTAGGGAACAACAAAAACAAAAGTGAGAACTATAGTTTAAATAGGGAGAAAAGAAAGTAGGGGGAGTGGAGGGTAGGGAAAGGGAAACAGAAAGGGCCTCATCCGAAGAGTGGTTAGACCATTGTTTCTGCAAGGTGGGGTTGGGGTGGTGGGTGAACATCAGCATGGTGAAAATGAGAAGTCTATACGTAGTACGGATTCATTCATGTTACTAAAGCCCAGAAGCTCCTGGCCTCCCTTCTGAAAGCCAGAAATACTCCCATAATCCCTCCCACATCAGCCTCACATGAAGTCTGTCTCTCAGCCCCTCAACCAGAGATGACTCACACACTGTGGACTTTCCCGGCCCCCAAAACTGACAGAGGCCAGTTCCCAAGATCTCTTTATCTTCCTTTTGTCAATTTTCCCCCTGGGTCTCCAAGAGTATCTACTTTTCTGTTAAAGTGACAGGAGTCTCTGGCCTGACTAAATGGAACATAAATTTATATTTAGTAACTGAATAGCTGAAGGAAAAGGAGAAGTGTCCCCAGGGCAGAATCTCTTGGGGAGGATGTTAGAAGACCATTGTCTAGAGAGAAGTCTTGTGTGGGGGCAGGGAAGCCTGTTAGGAAGTTGGCACAAGTGGCCTAACAAGAGCAGAATTCCTGTTAATGAACTAGGAAAAGTCCCATGACACTTCCACACGGATCTGGGTACCAAAGTTTATCAGACCTGGGAAGGAGCCAGATGGACTTCATGGCCAAAACAGATGAAAACTGGATAATCCAGGTGGAGTCAGCAAACTGGACACAGAGTAAGAAACCATACTCTGGTTTAGTCACCAAGGTGAAAAAATGTTCTGTCTGTCACAGGTACAGCCCAGGACTAGGGCAGGGGTTAATATTGGGCCATCAGATCACCCATTAGGGGTTAATATGGACCCTCAGACACACAGCACAGAGCAGGGCATAGGGCCTGACTTCTTCAGAGCCCTGCCAGCCATACAAACATCTGAAGCTTATTATTAGAGCTCATCAGGGTATGGTCCTGCACTGACTGTAATACAAACTAGTTCCATGCTGTTTCCACCAGTCCACCTGCCACTTTTTAACCACACACTTCAAATATTTGCCCCCAGGCTTCAGACCTCCCAACCTCATCAAGAATAGTCAAGCTGTATCCATTTGATGGGAAAACATCAGGTCTATCCTACCAAAAGAAAGGGGCAAGGGTAAACCCCAACAAATGAGTTCTTTCATGTCTTCTCTTTGTATGCATCTACTCATTGGAGATTCTTTTCTCCAATCTTCATTGTAATTGTTGGACTCCAAGACTCTGAAGTCTAAGGGTTATACTTAAGACTCTTGCTAGCAAATTACAAAAAAAAGGGAGGAAGGAATGCCACCTTTAATGTTAAAAATAATCCCTGTCCAAACCAGCCATGCATATTAACATGCATGAATGTGCTCAAGGCTTAAAGAGTTCTGGTCAGAAAGAAAAGGGGGAAGGGGTGTTGTAAGAATTATTAAACAGAGGGCAGATTGAGGAGTCTTGAAAATTTTCATTCTTCCCAAGAACTAAAAGGGTTTGTTTGCAGCAGGAAATATATATAC